GAGTGGCAGGGCCATGGACCTGGTCTGGCAACAGGGATCTGGCCTCTAATCTCCTCACTCACCGGCAGTGGCAAGGCAAGTGGAGCAATGCACTCTTGGCTCGCTTTGCTCCTTCAGCCATGTTGCTCCACTTCCCAGCAGTGTGTGGGGATGGTCCTGTACCTCCCCAGAGTGATGCAGCCAGAGGAGCACAGCGACCTGAGTGGCAGGGCCATGGACCTGGTCTGGCAACAGGGATCTGGCCTCTAATCTCCTCACTCACCGGCAGTGGCAAGGCAAGTGGAGCAATGCACTCTTGGCTCGCTTTGCTCCTTCAGCCATGTTGCTCCACTTCCCAGCAGTGTGTGGGGATGGTCCTGTACCTCCCCAGAGTGATGCAGCCAGAGGAGCACAGCGACCTGGGGCCATTGCCCCACAGCTGCTGATGAGTGGGGAGACAGACCCCTGCTGCTAGCACCAGACCCCCATTCTAGTTCCAGTCCATTTTCCTTCCTGCACACAGTGCTCGGGCCACATGCCCTCTCATGCCCCCCTCATGAGTCAGCTATGCCTCCTGGGTTGGTGTAGCAATTTTTGTTGTCAGAAGAGGGTTGCAATGAAGTTTGAGAACCCCTTCCCTAGTATATTATAATGTAAAGGTGCCTCAGTGCTTATGATAAGGTCTTATAACAGAAAGTGAACACATTATCAATATCATGAATATGAATAAAATGTAAAGGTCGGATTCTTTGGGGTTAGTTCATTCCCACTGCTGCACTCCTTCTGTGCTAGCCCCTTTGTTCACATCCCATAGTGCAGAGAGCAGAGAGAAGGTCTGGCCAGATTGCATTACACTCTGGCAATCCCCAGCTGCTAATAAGGACCCGTGGGGCACATAACCCTCTGGTGTAAATAAGATCAGAAGAGAATGTGGACCCAAGTATCTTGTCTCCCCATTTCAAAGTATGCAATTTATCAGCTGTTGGTTTCCCCAAATAATCACTGATACTCAATTCAATAATGTAGGTAAATGGACCAATTCTGTCTTGATACATGCATGTGTCCAAAGTTTATCCTATTGAGATAAATACAATTAATTGCAAAATTGTGCTTCACAAGTGTATAAGTGGTATCTCTACATTATTTCCAGCAAGGGAGTCAGTTCCAAAATGTGAAACACTATTGGTACACATCCTGGCCGGACCACAAAACCCCAGATAGTGCTCAGCCTCTTTTGCAGCTTATGCTGGATGTGGAAGAGGACAGGATGGCATCAACTGGCAGAGGGCCTGTAATTGTGCACTGCAGGTAAATCAATGACAGTTTTCTTTAAAGAATTACTGCAAAACTCAATGGTTTGGAATTCTTTTCGTAGGGCCACAGACATGGGTGCTACACTTAGAGGTGTGGGGAGTACTGCTGTACCCTCTGGCTTGAAGTTGGTTTCCACCTTCAGTACTGTTACCCTACAAATATTCTTATTGTAGACCACCCAGGGTTACACTAGTATGGGTTTATTTCCACTAGGTAAAACTAAAGAGGAGAAAGCAGCCACCAAAGGTTTAAACTAAAGAAGATAGAACTCTCGCTCTCTCACACACACAGAGACAAGCAAGCAAGCACACACCCCTCCATTCATTCACTCATTCATCCATTCATTCCTGCCCTCAGGCACTCACACACTTACACAGACGTATGATTTGCAGAAGGAGCCAAGGCATGTGGATCCTGGAGGGTCTGTCTGCTCATCATGGCTGGGGAAACTGGTCAGGAGAAGAGATACTGGAGAGGAGCTTCTCAGGAGCAGGGGAAGGAAAAAAAAAGAGAGAGTCTCACATGTGCTCCCTCTCTTTATATAGTGTCTGAATGGCTGCTGTGACTCATTCACCTCCTCATCAGGGAGCATGCCCAGACTTCCCTTTATCCAGCAGGGAGCATGCCCAGACTGTGATGACTCATTAACATGTGGTCCATTGTTCCCAATCTTCTTCAAATACACTCTCAGGCTCACACTCTCTCTCCATTCATTCAGGGGAGAATTTAGCTTAGGGTAAGTTACAAGCAAGGTGTCTGAGAGTTACAAAGATTACAAAGTTGCAGTTTACAGTAAATTTCAGAGTTACATAGATTACAAAGTTTGACAAAGATCACAATAAGTTGCAGTTTAAAACTTTAGACCCTACAGTTTGGTGTAGCTTTGCAAGTTAGCTCAGGCGGAGACTTTTAATGCAATACATACCACCACTATAAAATTTGTTTGGGCACCCCCTAGTTACAGAAAAGACCCTTTTCTATGCAAATAGGTTCATTCTGGAAGTGGTTAAGAGAAAGTTCCATAATGATTTTACTAAATTCTGGTTGAACTATTAGTTTGCATTGATAGTTTTTAGAAATGTAGCCATTTTTTAGTATTGAATAATTCCTTAACTCCTGATTTGTGCTAATGAATTAGGTAAATGTTTGAAAGACAGTTCTGAGAAATAATTTTTGGTGTATGTTCCATGTTGTTCACTGTTGCCCATTATTCATATTGTGCAATTAGTCACCTCAGACCAGGGGCAGCCCATGAGGCTAGGCAAACTAGGCAGTTGACTAAGGCGCCGCCAGCCCGGGTGCCCGATGATAATGTCACAGAGCACCCCGTGATTACGTCACGGCCGTGCAGGCAGGGGCGCCGATCGCGCCTTCTGCCTGGGGCGCCAGCTGCCGCAGCTGGCCTCAGACCACTCCTGCCTCAGAAACATGTTCAGGCGCCTGAAACTTTTTAAACAGGAGAATAATAAATCACAAATTTCAGGTAAAATTTTTCTGATGGTTAACTGGTTAAACACATAGTTTAACTGGTTAACATTTTAAACACTGTTTTACATTCCTATGTGTAACGCGCTTTTTGACATGAGTCAAAACCAGAACTTTTCTTCTCAAACCATTTTTCCCTAATTTGCCATTATGGGATCTGAATAAATGGGATCCAGATTTGAACAACCTTATGCCAAACTAAACCAGGTAGATTTTCCAAAACCATACCAATGTTGGCAATTTCTTTTTACCAATTGTTTGTTTTGTTTTCTTAAGCAATCCATAAATCTATCTAAATTTCTATGTGCTCCATGGTGCTTTTTCCTGAGGAGGAGCACAGTGGAACTTGGTGTCTTTTGTAGGTAAATGCCATGATAGAGGGGTCTGAAATTACAGTGTCCCTTGTAAAAAAATGAACATCATGTGTCGTGCTCCCTCTTCTAGCAACATACTTTGGTTTATGGGGTAGAGATATCCAGATCTCACAAAACTTTAGAATGTGGGGATGTTTGCCCTGGATACATGATATGTGCAGCTTTCATTTCTTTCAGTGGCAGCACTGCATGCCTACTTGAGGACAAAACATGACTCTCAATGTGTAGCAGAAAGGTTATTAAAATCTTTCAAGTCTTTAAATTATTGTCAAAATTGCAAAAAAAAATTGACAAGTGAGATGGAAGAAATATTATATGAACACTGGTTGCTCTCCCATAGAGTGCTGCCCAGGTACAAAATTTGTATCCATATCTGCAAAAAATCAGCCACTGATATCCATATCTGAGAATGCAGATACCCCTGGGTATAAAACAGATATCCACAGATTTGAAGGGTTGTAGATACAAAATTTTTATCCACATCCATATCTGCAAAAATGAGCCACAGATATCCATATTCATATCGACACCAGCAGATACCTTGGGATATAACATGGATATCCATGGCTTTACATATCCATATAGGACATCATGTGTAAGAAAGAATATAATCCATGTCATCCTACAACAGCAGAGTTATTTCTGTAGCACTAAGTGGAGAAAAAGGAGTACACATTTATTTTTGTCATTTAAATTGGCAGATGTTACTCTGAATATATGGAGGGAACAGAACCACCAAGTAAGAAAGTTTGTTTTACACAGCCAGTTTTCAGAGTAGTATTGCACTTTAAAGATACAGAAGTTTCCTCTGGCATTTGAAGTACACTTCCAAATCTTATACTCATCTATGACTCACCCACCATCTTTTCTATGTGTACCCTGATGCATCTAAGTAAGCTAGTGTATCTTGGCCACTAGGCGGCCTTGGACGAAATGTATATTTGAATGAACAGATATCTTACAAAGTAAAAGATTTTGTTATTGATCAAATAAGGAAAAATAGAGGCATAGGGCTTGATTCTCAGTTGTCATAAATTGATTTAACTCCACTAAGTCAATGAAACTATGCTGATTTATACCAATTGAGAATCTGGTCCATAATGTGCAGTACACAAATTACATAGAAGATATCCTCTGTCCCCAGAAGACGCAACAAATAAATATACTAATGAGCAGGAACTGCCTCAGTAACAAAGCTACTTCTACCCATGCTGATTAACTGACGCTGACATTTTGGATGCCAAAAAAATGTTGCATTCACCCCCATTGCAGCCAATGTAGAATCCCTGAGCCCTGGCACACCCCACAGTGATTACAACCCCAAACGCCAGCATGCTCCCCTGCACAGACTGGAAGCCCTGAGCCCTGGTGTCCCTAGTGCCCTCAGGCCCTGCACATCCTCAGCCCAGGCTGAAGCCCCCCAAGATCCCTGCCTTACAGCTGAAGGGTGGGGAGCGGGAGGTCAAAGAAATAGTCTCTGAGAATTTAAGCCTTGAAATTATTGTCTCCAGAAAGCAATAAACACTCCTCTGTGATGTTAGTCTTGAAGGAGCCAAAACAAACAGACACGACAGCGATACAGAACATCATAATATACTGTCCTAGAGGTGAGTAATAGGTGTCTTTAAAATACCTGTTTAAGTAGGTCACAGAATTGCCCTTCTATATTGTGAGAGGGCAAGCACATAGGAGATTCTCTGTAATGTGAAGTCTATAAGTCAAGATTTGAGAAAGCCAGTAACTTAGCCAAAAATTAGAGGTCTATAATAGATTGGGGTGAGGGAGTGAGGTTGTGTGGCCTGACATTGCAGGCGGGTTATGATTATATTGATTATGAGGGTCCCTTCTGGCCTTCAAGTCAGTGAATGTCAGATTTAGCTTGCGCGGTCTGCAGTAAAGCCAGGCAAAAAGATAGGATCTCTATGTGCCTGATGCTGGGGGGAGGGGAACTTGTCTTTGTCAAACACACTGGAGAACATATCCAAGAACAGTTAATCCATGGGAAAATATGAATCCTGTAACACTACCAAGATCTTAGATGAAGGGTGACCTGCTGTGAAAGTGCTGGCGTATTAACTTGCGCATCTTGTTTTTAAAGGATTTCACAGTATTTTGAAGAGGAAACTGGGTGGTGTAACTTGCTTCTTTAAACTCGTTCTCCTTCCTTCCCCTGCGTATAAAATATCTCTATTCCATTTTGGACACATTGCCCAGATGGTTTGGTATCGGCATTCAAGGAAACAGGTTGTCAACCATGGATTTCAAAGTCACCTCAAGAATCAGCCTTTTCTGACTGCCAGTTTTGCTTCTCACTATCCCCACACTTTTTTGATTTGGCATCTTTATATGTTAAATATTGGTGACTCCGGGGGTTTCTGAGTCTCAGATACATTCCCATCTTTAATTCCATTGCCAGGAGCAGAGTTCCCTGTAAGCGGTGAACTTGCGCGGCCACTTAGGAGAAATTCAAATGCCGTCCAGCTCCTTAGCAAAGCACCCTCAGATAGGTTTTGTGTTTCTATTGGTGGTGCACATTTGCATATTCCTCTATCCATATAAAAATATATATTCTACACATGGTTAGAGGGAACATTGGCCAGGAGTCTGAGATTGGGGCCCTCTGGACTGCATAAATAGAATTCTAATAACACTCATACTGCAACCTTTCATTCAAAACACCCAAAACACTTTACAGATACTAATGGAATTAAGCCTCACAGCACTCCTCTGAGGTACATTACTGGTATTATACCCATTAAACCAGTGAATAAATTAAGGTAGACAGTCACTTAACTAGTTAGGATGTGTCTATACAACATTCTTCTTTCGAAAGAGGAATGCAAATGAGGGAAATTGAAAATGCAAATGAAGTGCAGATTTACAAATCTCGCGCTTCCTTTGTGTAATCATGTCCGATTGCTTTTTCAAAAAAGGATTTTTTGGGGGAAAAAAAGCAGTCTAGACACAGTTCTTTTGGGAAAAAAAACCCTTTTTAAAAAGAACCCTTATTCCTGAAAAAATGAGGTTTACAGGGTTCTTTCGAAAAAGCGTTTTTTTAAAGACCCGCGTCTAGATTGCTTTTTTTAAAAAAAAAAAAACCTTTTTCAAAAAAGCGCAGATGAAATTATGCAAATGAAGCATGAGATTTGTAAATCTGCATTTCATTTACATTTTTAATTTCCCTAATTTGCATTCCTCTTTCGAAAGAGGAATGTAGTTTAGACGCACCCTTTGTGTCTCCTGGTACCCATCCACCTCCACATTCCCCTCAGACTGCAAACAAGGAGCAGAACGTGGAGACTTGCAGCACTAACCCCTCTCCCTGCTGCAGAATTGCAGAGCACTACAGGAGGCTGATGAACAGTGGGAACACAATTACTGGTCTTGGGTAACCCACACACTTGCTGGGGATGGTGTACTGTCCCATGTAATGGTACTTACAGAGAGAGGGAATGAGTTCGCTCTATGGCCTTAGGTGAAAGCCAACTGGCTTTTAGCTCAAGCTGTAGAGGCTCGTAAGTTCTAGCGGTCCAAGGTTTGGTTCTACCTGTCAGCGTTACTTTGGATACAGAGGAATGGCTAGTGTGGAGAGGACTGTAACAGAAAGTCTCAAACTGGGCAAGATCCATGAAGAGTGGGGCTTGGTCACTTCACATTGCTCCTTGAACTGGAGCAGAGAATATTCAGACTCCTCAAATCCCATTAGAGCTATAAAGATTTTGTGTAACATTGCTCCCTCTGTGCACTTTTGTGCAGAATGAAAACATATGGGCTTCACAAATTAACCCGTAGCTCTTTACCTGTTGCTGCTCTCTGAGCATGCATTTCCTAGAGGAAAAGGTGAGTTAGGGTATGTCTACACTACAGAGGGGGTTTTTTTCGGGAAAATGGAATTTTTCCAGAGAAACTTCAATTACGTCCACACTGCAATCGAAAATGGCATTTTTCCAGAAAAACTTCAATTACGTCCACACTGCAATCGCATTCTTTCAGAAAAAAAATGGAAAGAACGGAGGGGGTTTTCTGGCAGTGGTAATCCTCTTTCTACAAGGAAGAAGCCTATTTCCAAAAGAGCTCTTTTGGAAGAAGGGTGTGTGGACAGGGAAGAGGGAATTCTTTCACAAGAAGAGGAAAGAGGGAAAAGCACAGGAGCTCTACTGGCCATTCAGCCCATAGTAATCACAGTTTACATGCAAGATGGCATCCATTCTGACACTATCTGTCAAAAAAGCAGAGTGCTTTTTCGATGTGCTTTTGCAGTGTGGACACTCTCTTTCTGAAGAAGTTTTTTTGGAAGATCTCTTCTGGATGTACCTCTAACCACTAATGGGTCTCTCTTGTGCATGTTGAGTATTTTCAGTTCTATATATGTGATGACAGAACAACTTCTGTGAAGGGTGCAGATTGGTATCTGTCAGCTCCATTCACCTTTGCTTTAATTTTATTTTTAGTGCTGGTATAGGAAGAACCGGATGTTTTATTGCTACCACCATTGGTTGTCACCAGTTGAAGGAAGAAGGAGTTGTAGATGCACTAAGCATTGTCTGCCAGTTACGAGTTGATAGGTGAGTTGCAATGGAATTGTAAGTCAGATAAAGAACACAATGTCATATTTTCAATCCTCTTCTGCTACATTCCAATCTGATATATTTGTCTGTTAACTTCACAACACAGAAATACTCTGTCTTCTCGTAGAAATGTGTCCTGCATCCTTCACTCTGTGTAAAACAAAAAAAGTCACAGTTGGGTAAGAAACATGCAAGTGTCAGGACTTTCAAGGATTCACTGTTCTTAAAGGTGAATTGAAGAGTTTAAATTGCTAAATCATGAACATAATCTATGGGGCAATTAAAAAATGATAAACAAGTATGTGTGAAATACTCAGAAGCACTCAGAGTTGCATAATTCTCCTCCCACTGATGCCAAAGGGAGTTTTACCATGGACTTCAGTAGGAGTACAGTTAGACCAACACAAAATGCTTCTGAAAATTTCATACTACATTTTTCAATATCCTGAAAGGTCTTTTCTTTTTTACTTTTCTGTCAGGACCTCAATTTGGGATTTTGTGTTTCTCTGGAAAGAATTTCCTATGTCTAATATGGAAAGCCAAGTGTTAATCTAGAGTGCGATTTTGTGTTTCTCTGGCAAGAATTTCCTATATGTCTAATATGGAAAGCCAAGTGTTAATCTAGAGTGGGTGCTAACCTGCATTAGATGCTATTGATAAAGTCCACAGCCACTTTAGGTGTCAGTATTTTAATGAACTCTTGTTGCTATGTGTCTCCTCCCTAAATTCAGGTCCTGACAAAGGAGTAAAGAACAAAATAGCTTTTCAAGTATTTTTGTTAAAGAATGTATTTGTTTGCAATTTTATGACTATTTATATTGTGTTAATAATTATAACAAGTTTGATGAACAGATTCTCTCATGTTCTGTGACTATTTTATGCTGCAAAGTTGGTGCAAAGTGGCCCTAATACCGATATAATGCTACTCAGAAGATTCTCGCCAGTGGCTATTTTATGCTGCAGAGTTGGTGCAAAGTGGCCCTAATGCTGATATAATGCTACTCAGAAGATTCTCGCCAGTGTCGGAGGATCCTGTGGTGGTGGACAGCAAGGGGCAGCACTGGTGGAAGGCCACCCCAAAATTTGCCATAGCCACACTGTTGCAGCCATTGTTCTCCAGCCACCCAGCTCTGGAGGCAGAGCAGAGAGACCAGTGGCTGCTGGCTGATTACCCAGCTCTGAGGGTGGCAGGAGTAAGAAGGGAGCTGTGGTGCCCAAGAGCAGTCCCAGGCTGTGTCCCTGTCCACTAGGGAGCATTGCCAAGGGTAGTTTGGAGGGTCTGGAACTCCCCACAACTGTCTAGACTGATCTGCTTACATGGGCTTCTGATTCTGCCCCCAGTATCTCTGCTCCCCAATGTCTCTGCTGGCTCCAAAGCCAGGTCCCTCCACCTTTGAAGAATTGAAGGGCAGTGGGGAGCTGAGGAGGAGCTCCAGCTCGGGCTGCAAGTGGGGGTGAGGAAGGAGGAGGCAGGGCCAGAACTTAGGAGGCACAGGGGGCGGGGCCTTGTTGCAAGCAGGGACACAGCCCTGTGTGTACAGCCCTGGGGAAATGCAGCAAAATATTCTTTTTCATGCTACTCCATTAGCATTTTTAAACAGACGCACTACAACAATATTTGTTTCCTCATTCAGTAACTATACCAGTGAAAGAACCTTTATTTTCAACAATATTGCCCAAAATATCCATCAACTGTTAAATTTATAAATGCTCTAAAAATGAATGTAACTGCAGAACCAACCAGTACTACTGCAGATTTTGAAATTTATAACCACAAATTGAGATTTGCAGTTCTTTTACACCCAAGTATATAATTTGAAAGCTACTCAACTCTTGGGTGAGTTTCATAAATCATCCAGTCACAGAGCTGGAACAATGCCACATAATATGCATAGTTCCCCCACACACAGACGAAGCAGGACTGGCAAATGCTCCCAACAAACTGTTTATAAATTATCTACAAACCAGGACTTATTTACTGAAGAAATCTATGGATAGCTTTTTAATAATCAGTAAAACTGGGAATTTCACTATTTCTTTGCAAATATTTCACACAGAAAAATGAGTCTCTTGAACTAGATAATTATACAGAACTGTAGTATCTCAGTACCTCCCAAATCAAAAAGAACCAATAGTGATCTCTTTCTTCTACTGCAATCTGTAGGAGAGATGGCTTGATTAGTTGGGCTGTGTTACTCTGTGGTGTATGTGAGGCATATGGGCATTCTTTTCTGGGAGTGAGTTCCACAATCTAGGGCCAGCTCTTGTGAAAATTCTGTGTCCCAATTTCAAGCCTCCGCCCCACGACTGGAAAGCAGCTTCCTCATTCCAGTGGAATGCAGCTGTTGCAGGAGTTCATGGTCACTGAAAGAACAGGTGATCCCATAAGTATCTAGGGTCAGTTCCATGGAGTGCTTAGAATATCAACCAGGAGATCTGGAAATGTAATCCATATTCATCAAGGAGCCAGTGCTGAGACAGAAGCCCTAGAGTGATGTACTTATGGCAGTCTCTGTTGCTGAGCAGATGGACTGCTGCATTTTGTGTCAGCTAAAGATTTTTCAGGCTATGTGGCTTCATTACTAGGAATAATGGATAGCAATAATCAAGGTTGGAAGTCACAAATATGTGGCTCACGATGGCCAAGCCCAATACTGTTTAAGGAGTAGAGTCTTCTTGCCAGTTGCAGCTGGAAGTAAGCAGTTTTTGTCTCATGGCTATTTGGACATCCAGTAGCAATGAAGAAACTGAAAGGACCTCAAAATGGTAGACCAACAGGAAGATCTTAAATAAGAGAAGCTACTTGTTGAATACATTGTGTTACAATAGGTACAATAGGTCTACCTATCAATTGTCTTTTTTTTCTGTTAGAAAAACCACAGATATTTAAAAAAATGTGTTAACCTGATAGTTTCTGTGGCCTAGCAAGCCTTGTATTTAAAAAGGCCAGATTCTACACTCCGTGTGATGCAAGCCTCCCACTGAAATCACCTAATTCAATGAGGGTTGGCAAACGCAGTTTGAAGTGCAGGTATGCATCTTCCTTTCCCTGTGGGCCACATCCTCCCTTCCCAGACAGGCACACACATCAGCTCCAAGTAGCTGGCTTGATGCAAGCTTGGGAAGGGAGGCAAGGATGTCTCTGCAGTGATCAGGTTGCAGTTGTTTTTAACATTTTGGAGTTGCAATAGCACCTACTGTGTCTGGGTCCCAAATGTGTGAGGGGCCCTGGCCCATGTTTGTTATCTGAAAGACAATGCTAGTACTGCAGTACAGCCTCAGCCAGTATTCCATCTGGCACAGCATCTCCTCACTCACTTTCAACACTGGATAGTTTAGGTCCTACTGTGGGATTCCTGAAAGCCCCAGTGCTACCAGCTGAGCTATCATACAGCTATATTAGGTGTAAGTAGCTGATCCAAACTGACTGCACTGAGCACTTTTTTATGTTCAAGTTAAACTAAGTTGCATTGCTGGCGCAGAAATGAGTCACCGCTGTAAAATTTCTTCTCTGTCTGCTGTTTAGACCGGATGCATTGTAGGCGTTAGAAAGAGGACAGGAAGAGCTGGTCTCTGCACATGTGATCTAAGGGTCACCATAGGTTACATTTTTAGGATATGAAGAAGAATGAAGTCTGTGCACACTGGGCCAGATTCTCTTACCCTTACTCATGCTAAGTAGCACCTCATTCCTCCAACAACCCCAATAAAATCAATGGGGCTGCTCTGTGAGTCCAGAACTCAGCTTGAATAAAGGGTGTCAGAATCTGCCCCAAGTGACTAAGCTTTTTATGACATATCTAATCTTAGTCGTGCTTAAAATACAGCGTGTTCATTGCTTTTCGGGAGATTCCCCATAATTGCGTTGGGTTTGAAATCTGGATTTTAACAGCTTACCTGCCAGC